CTAGTCTGTTTTGGTTTTAGTATATATATATATATATAACGTTTTAGAAGAGATTTGTAGAGAAAAAAAAGTCTTTTGAGCACTTTGAGAGAGAGATTATTGTGAGGGAGTGAGAGATTGTTGGTTAGGGTTATTTTGAGTATTTGAGAGAGTTATAACCCATTGTATTTCTTCTTCATATAGTGAAATCTTCCCATCCTCTCCCCGTGGACGTAGGCAACTTGCTGAATCACGTGCATCTCTGTATTTATGACTGGTTTGTGCCGTTCTTTTGCGAATTGCACTCGTTGCTTGTTCTCCTCCCGTTGCTCACCGACTCGTGTGGGTGTTTGATTCGCGAGCACGCATCCGCCGACGCACAACAATTTGTATCATGGCCTAGGGTTTTAGACCTAGGGTTTTCTTTGGGTGGAGAAAAATTTAGTGTTAGAAGCTTGGATTTCGAAGATCTAGGCTTCGGTGAAGATAGCATTGTGGAGTTGTTAGTTGGAGATCTTGCCTTTCTCATGTGGTTGGGAGTTCATGTTGGAATCCAATCTAGGGTTCAAGTTGGGTAATTCCTCAATTATATCAGTTGTTCGAATTTTCTCTACAATTTAGAGTTAGCGAGCAATGACAGAAGATAGTGGTGAAAGCAGCAAGGCTACGGCAAATACAATTCAGGTTGTACTTTAGAATATGAAGATTAGTGTTGTGAAGTATGATGACATGATCAACTTTGGGCTGTGGATGAGTGATGTGCAAGATGCATTGAATGCTTAGAACTTAGAGGAGACCATCATGGTCCATGAGAGGCCTTCGAAGTATGATAAGACGATATAGGACAAGATGAATCGAAACACTTGTGGGGTAATAAGATCTTGTTTGGAACAAGAGTTGAAGTACGATGCGATCGATGTGACATTTACGATGAATATGTGAGAGATTCTCAACAATAAATATTTTACGAAGAGTGTTGAGAACCGATTGCACTTGCTATGAAGATTGTTCAGATTCCAGATGTCCAGTGGTACCTCACTTGCAGATCATGTTAACTACTACACAAAGTTATTTTTAGACTTGTGAATGTAGATGAGAAGATATCGATGAGTACAATGTGATTATTTTGTTAGGCTCCTTACCCGATGAGGAGTATGATACATTCGTGCTCACTTTGTTGAACGTTAGATCTTCCATCACTTATAGTGAAGTGACTAATACGTTAACGTATTTTGACTTGAGGAGGAAGGACAAAGAGTCTTCCAGAGCTAGTATTTTAGGAGAGACCCTTGTCGACAAGAGGAAGGAGTCCCTATCCAAGCGGTGATAATCGAAGTATGTCAAAGTCAAGAGGCCACTACCAATTAGCAAAGAACCAGTGTGCTTTCTGTAAAAAACAAGGACATTGGAAGAGAGATTGCCCGAAGCACAGAGAGAAGGAGAATAGCAAGAAGAAGTGCCCGAAGGCTAGTGAGGTAAATGTTACTAAGAGTGGTAATGATTTCAACGATTCATACTTTTCTCTATTGATTATTCCAGAGGTAAACTATGCGGATGCATTGGATTGGATGCTGGATTCTGGTGCTACTTATCATATGATTCCCTGATGAGATTGGTTTGTATCTTTCGAGAAGCTTGATGAGGGGGGGTGGTCATGGGAAATAATCAGTCTCGTGGCATTTACGGGATAGGTACCATCAAGATTTGGATGCACAACGAAGTTGTTCGTGAGTTGAATGAAGTGAGATTTGTTCCTCAGCTGAAGAAGAAATCTTATTTTTGTTGAAGCTTTGGAGGCAAAGGAATTCAATGTGACTTTGAGAGCGCTGTAGTAAAAATTACTAAGGGACATTTAATAGTGATGAAAGGAGTCCGCAATAGAAATCTATATTATCTGAAGGGAAGCACCGAGATTGACCAGGTAACTTCAGTAGTTTCACTGGCAGACATGAGTAGACTTTGGTACTATAGATTAGGGCACACAGCTAAAAAGTTATTGTAGGCGCTGTGCAAGCAAGGGCTATTGAAGGGAGCCAAGAGTAGGAAGATTGAATTATGTGAGCACTGTGTTCTTAGCAAAAAGACTAATGTGAATTTTGGGACAACCATTCATAGGACGACAGGCATCTTGGACTATATGCACACATATGTTTGGGGTCCTACCAAGACGACATCACTTGATGGTCGATATTGGTTCATCATGTTTGTAGATAACTATTCTAGGCATTATTGGGTGTACATCATGGTGAAGAAGAGTGAAGTCCTAGAGATATTTGTAAAGTGAAAGAGAAGATTGGAACTACAGACAAGAAGAAAGATCAAGACATTAAGATCTGATAATGGCGGTGGGTACACTTCAGACCCCTTTCAGCAGC